TTCATGAATATTATATAATTTCATTGACAAAGAATAAAGTTCATAAGACATATGAAATTATACTTATTAAAATTTTTTTACTTTTTTAAAGTCGAAAAAGTAATTTTTAAATTTGAGTTAGCTTAAATAGCCAATTTTATCAAGCAACAAAAAGCAACGAACAGTTGCCTAGTGGGTAACATCTTGTTCTTTCATGCCTAGGTTATGAGGTTCAGATCCGTCTGTGACTTCTAAAATTTTGCATTTTTTTTTTGAGTTAGAATAGAATTTTCAAATCATTTGATATTTATCTCATTTAGATTCAATAATTTCAATAAATATAAAGGATCTTATCACTATAGTCTCCCCTCGTGAGAAGAAATTGATATTCATGTTAATATTATTTTACTATGTGGTTCTTTTTCTGGCTACGATTTATTTTGCCAACCCTCACTAGACCTACTTTTTTCAACGATACGTCAAATGATTCATTTAAGTTTATGATATTTAAGTTAATGATTAGTTTAAGTTATTACTCTTAAAAATCAAAAAAATATTCCTTATTCAAATAAAAAGTAGCTTAACCAGCTTTTTCCATACAAATAATTAAAATCATTAATTTCTAATTTTCTTAAAGTATTTATTGTCGTATTAGATTTGATATGATAAAAGTATTCAACTACAAGAGTAAATAATTTTACTTTGTAATTTATTAAATTTTTAACTCTATTTATGTGTGCTACAAACCAGTCTATAATATTCCAATTGTTTTGTAATATGTTGCTATATAAATCATAAATTTAAAAAAAAAATGATTTTTAGTTTCACCTGAATTTAACGATGGATTTTTACAATTATAATTATATTTTTGATAATATGCTCAATTGAGTAAATCTTTTTAACTACTATGGTTTGATTGGTTCATTTAATTAAAGTAANCTTTGTTTGATTGGTTCATTTAGTTAAAGTAAATTATTAAAATTAATTAAGTTCTGAATATTTCAATTGCAGAATCTTTTTAAACA